TGCTGGGTGGGACTTTAATTTCAGCTTCTAGGCATTCAAAGATGCATGTTGCACTGGAAAAGCTCTATAAGCAAGCACACTGTCATCTTAAATGACAGTACCCCATCAAATCTGATATTGCTGGGCATCAGGGTTCTGCAAGCCCAAGACTCTACCCTAAACAGCTCCTCTCTTTAGCAAAATTTTCACCTTGCTTTTGTTTATTTTTATTTTGCTCTTGCTTCCCTTCTGAGAGTGCTGTTAGGTGCCAAAAAAGCCAAGAGCTTCTCAACAGCAGCTGCCTCTGGTCCCATGGGTGCTGGGTTCATCCCACAGCAATCCCAGGAAAGTGGCAGTGAGCACCACCCCACACGCTGGGCTGCTCCACGTCCCGCAAGGCTTTAATTAGCAGTTGAGAGATGGTGTCTCACTCACCTGGACTGACAAGCAGCCTTGTCATGGCCAGGGAAGTCTGGAGGATTTAATTAATCACAGTGGACTCTGTATTTAGCTGAAGGTACCTTTATAGCTTTGGGAACCAGCAACTCCAGCACAGCATGTCCCACTGAGTCTCAGTTTCATGCTGTATGTTCAATATTAGAAGTAACTCAAATCATATCCCCCTCGAGGTCTCCACGCGGGCATGATTATGAGGGAAATTATTCTCATTATGCTCAGCCACAGCTTGAATTAACAGCCGTACAACCGGTACCCACAGCTGCTTATGAACCGAGCTCTGCTATCCCCTCAGATTTAATTAAATCCTCAAAAACGTGCCCCAGACTTGTCTTGTAGGGGCAAACCTTTGAGCTGTCATTCCAGCTGTGCGGGCTGTTGGAACAGCAGGCGTTTGCCCGTCGGGATGGCAAACAGGAAAAGGCTGGAGTGCGCTGCTGTACCTGGAGGAAGGCTGGACGGCGCTGCCCTACCTGGCTCGCTCGGACGTTCACATCTCCTGCCCGCAGCAGCTTCGTCACCACCTCCATGTCCTGGCGGCTCTCGGCGGAGGCCAGCGGTGTGATCATGAGGGCCGTGTAGCCGGCCTTGTTGGGACGGTCCACATCGCACACCCCTGCGGAAGAGACACCCCCACCACGTGCAGAGCCACAGAGAGAAGCGGGATGTGTCCTGCGGGGAACCCTCCGTGGCCGCATCCCAAGGAGTTTCCCCAGGTACACAGGGCTGTGCCTTTCTCATCAGCATTAAATGCCTATTTGTTAAGGTATAGAATTAAAGGGTCGTGCATACTATACATTGCTACATTTCCTTATTATTGTTGAGGTCAACTTAGCAATTCACTTTGCTGACCATAACCAAATTTTAGGATTTAAAAAGTAATTTATGCCTTGGGCATGTGGCCAGCTGTGAAGCTGTTGTGATTTATTCTAACTCCCAAAGTTGGGGAGCAGCAACAAAATGAAAGTCGCCCTGTGAGTGGGTAAAGCTGTTTTGCTAGATTTCTCTCATAACTCAATTTCAGTAATACCAACTCTGAAGAGCTTCAGAGTCTTATTTATTTTGGTCCTGTTCCTCTTGGATAGCCCATAACTGAGGAATTTGCTACTTAAGTCACTGTAACTCACATTGATAGCAGCCTAACATGAAGCAATGAAGTTGCTGATCAGATATCTTTCTATGATTCATCATAGAAAGGGAAAAAAAAAATCCTACCTTGTTTTATAAACTAGAATTTGTGGGGCTGGTTTTTAACATACTTAATTTCTGCAAGAGGCCCATCCTTTTTCAGGATGGGCTGTCAAATAGACCCACAGTTAATTGTTTATGACAGCAGTAAATTTCACAGTAAAATGCTTTACAGTTTTTGCTCTAAAGGTTCTCTCTCAGACTGCTCTATTTTCTTTTCAACCGAAGAGCTTATTTTCAATTATAAGCATCACATTGGCAAATTCTCTCAAGAAATACATTGCTACCAGTGTTTCAAAGTGAGCTTTTATGTTCTGGGCACTGCAGATTAGAAATGAGCTGTGTCTAATCTAAGAACACGCAATTTTAGTGTTGCCCTTTGAACTTTGTTGCTTCGGGCATTTAGCAAAAGAAAAGAACAAACTTCTGCCAATGTCCCGAGGCTGTTTGGAGGCCTGCGACAACAATTGGTTTATAGATGTGTATGATAATATGCCATTTTGCTAACATTTAACAGATTGTCTCGCCAGCAGAAAAGGCCAAAGTGTCTTTATTCCCTCTGAAAGCGCTTGCCTTTCTCCTTCCCGCCCCCTCCCCAGCAGAATCTCTGCTGAAGGCATCATTCTTTACAAAAGGAGCTAAAAGTTCACTGGTTAAAATGTTTTTTTTTTCTGTGGGGCTCCCATTGCAGCCCAGTGGTGAGACCCCGGGGTGGCTGCCCCTACCTGTGTCTAGCAGCAGCTTCGCAACGGGGAAGTTGGAGTGGGAGACGCTGTAGTGGAGCGCGGTGTTCCCATTCTCGTCGGCCAGGTTCACCACCGCCGCCAGGAGCTGCGGATGGGCCGTGCCCAAGGCTTCCAGATAGGCAGCGACGGCCTCGGCGCTGGAGGCTTTCCGGCTCGACACGTGGAACCACTCCTGGGAGATGGCGCCCGGGATGCGCTCCTGCAAACGGAGCCGTGAGGGCAGGGAAGGAGCCGGCGCTGGCTCCTTCCGCTGCGGCTGGCAACGCCGCTGTGTCTCGCGGCAGTGCTGCTCCTGGGAACCCTCTCCAGTTTACTCTCTCCTACTGCAGCATTTTAGGGAGATATCTCTAAATTTTCTTCTAAATTCATTCTCCTGTCTCCTCCTTTCCATATGGAAAAGGAAGAACATTTTCACCTATGAGCTGCTCTACCAGGTCAAGCCCAGAGGAATCTGCTGCAACTTGGTCTGCAGGGACAGCAGATCCTGACCAGGTCTCTGCCCTTTGCCACTTCATCCTATGTCCTGGCAACCCCCCAGCATCCAGCACATGGGATGGGTTTTGTGATTACTCTCATAACTGAAGAGAGAGAGAGGAATTTCCTGTGGGAACTTGGATAAGTGAGCAGAGAAAACTCTCCTCCCCTTTTCCCCCCTCCCCCAGTTCGGAGGTCACCTCGACCCCTTTCTCCTTCCAAAGCTGTCCCTGGCATGGCAGGACATGCTCTGCAGTGCACAGCTAGGATAGGTTTCCTGATTAAATGTAGTAGAAACTGGGAACAGCATCTGAAATTTGATCGAAATATATCCATACCAGATGCTCGTTGCTTGGGGTCCTGGTTTGTGAGAGGTGTTTGCTGAGGAGCTGGCAGTCAGCAAGGCAATCTTCAGAGGGTTTGCATCTGAAAAGAAAATATTTTGGTAAATCTATCATAAAACTGAATCAATATGTAGCACTGGAACAGGAAGGGTAGTGTGCAGTATAAATGTTTAGGTCAGAATAATTTAAGCACTTATTTAAATGCTTAACTTCATGCATGCAAGTTGTCCCCTTGATTGGAATCAGATTTGAGGTACAAAGTTAAGCACTTCTGTAAGTGTTTGCAAGTAAATCCAGAATCTCTGATCTGCAAGATCAGCTTTTACCAGAATCCTTTAAAAAAAGGAAAAAACAAAGTATTTCTGACTCTGCAAAGAAAATTCCTTAGCAACTTTACTTTGGGCGTGGTGGTGGTGGAAATGAGCTAATTCACCCCTAAAATGACTCATTTTGCCTTTTCCATAATCAAGTGTAGAGCCTGAATCACTCGCCATTAGATTCTGCAGTAACTTGGAAAACATTTAGCTCTCCAAAACCTTTTCCCATGTGTACAGAAGTCCAGGTTTCTCCTCTCTCCAAAAATGACTAATTTTGCTGACAATTGGATGTCAAGTTCATTGAAGATTCAAACCTGAATTACTGCTAGCTGATATTTATTGCTGAACGCTGCTCATACTGTGGTTTGGGGCTTACCTGTCAGTCCCATGCTGTGTGCTGGTTGTCACTGTTGCCACTGGCTCCTGCAGGCCGTCGTCCTCGTGTCCCTCATGCGGGGAGGCCTCTGATGCCACGGGATCACTCTCGTGTGCAGCTTCTGGCTGGCTGTGCTCTGATCCATCCGATTTCCTCTCTGTCTCATTGTCTGAATCCTCTTCCACTGGGCTGTCTTCATGACTTGTGTCTTCACTTGAGGTCGTTTCATAACTAATTGAGGACACCAAATGTTACTCACTCCTCTTTCCCCATCTGCAATTACAGGGCCTGAGCCAAGACTCATTGAAGACACCCATTGGCTCCAATGGGCCTTGGATGAAGCCCAGTGATACTCATGCTAAAAAGGTTAGAGCTACATCCAAACTTTGGGTTAGTTTTTTTTTCTTTTTTAAACCTCTGAGGCAACTGTACTCGCAGTTCCTATGGGATCTGAACTCACCATTCAAGTAGCCCTGCTAAAAGCATTAGTAAGAGTAGCACCTTGCAGAAGAGAGAACCTATAATCCTCAAGGATCCCAAAACCAATCAAGACTCCTCTACTCACTACAAGTTGTATCATCAGCTTCAGTATCTGTTAGTAGAAGAAACTCTACTCAACAAAAGTGAGTAAACCCTGATATATTGAACAGCTGTAACCACAGAGCTGGGAAGAGGGGAAGAAGTATCTGAGCAGAAACCAGCCTTTGAACTTGCACATGTAACTGTGTGCCCAATGAAGGGCACCATGACAGCACAGAGGGACAGGCGAGCCACCCCGGACCTGTCCTACCATTCTCCACACTAGAAGCCACCCCGCACCTGGACCTGTCCTACCATTCTCCACACTAGCGAACAGTCAGGGAAGGAGATCAAAGCCAAGGATACACAGGAGACTGCATTGGAGCAGAAACTAAAATATTGGTCTCATCCCAAGGAATTCCTCAGCTACTGAGTTCATCTCTTCTCAGCCCCTGAACCATCCACTCCTTCACCTGCTACGGAACTTCATCTAGCCACAGCTGCAGTCAGCTGAAGGGTCTCATTTATGTGAGCAGGAATCCCCTGGCAGGGACCCAGCAAGGCTAAATCTCAGCTCTTAGTTCAACAGATCTCAGCTCACTTAGCTTTGCGTAAAACTGCTCGCTTCGCTTCCCGGTGGGCACCGATCTGTGCGTTTGCTGGGTCCCCGCAGCGTGCAGGTGGGCAGGCCAACTCTCCCTGTTCACATGGCAGGGAGGTCCATGCAGATTGTGCAGATCCTGCCTGCCCAGACCTCATCCAAAACCCATCACAGGTCATGGGAATCCTCCCAGTGACACGCCTGGGTTTTGGGTGAAGCCCCAAGAGATGGGTGTGCAGAGAAATCACTCTCAGAGGATGTCCCTTGCTCTTCTAAAAACATCCACGTCCCAGCCTGTTCTGTAGGGTTATCAGTACTGGATTAAAGAAGGGAGAGAAGAGGCTCCATTTCAAATGGCCTTTTAATAGAGAGATTTGGAGGGAAAGAAAAGCGAAGAGAATGATTTTAGCAGTACAGATGACTTCACATGTTAGAAAGGCAGTTTTATCTTCTTAATCGATGCTTACCCACCATTTACCCCAACAAACTGAAGATTCTTTTTGGTCCCATTGCCTCCTGCATGGAAACCATAACCTTTCTTTTTCATGATAGATTTAAGACTTGTGGTTGGAGAGATTTCTAGCAAAATACAAAATAATAGATTAAATAAGCAGATGTGACAAAATTATCAATGGTTATTCTCAACCTGTAGCAACAAATGACAAATCATCACAGTAAGCATAATAACCTGACCTTGTAAGATTCCTTTTATAACCTGCAGAACTACCAATGCATCTGGACACAACTGAACCTGACTTGCCACCTTTAAAATAAGGACCTCAAAGATCTTCAAGTGCCTGGGGATATAAGGGAAGTGGCTGGGAACTGTATGCATGTTCTGTGAACATCAATAGGCTCTGCTCTGGTAATAATGTTTTCCGAGGACTCTCTTGTCTTTTCAGGATTGATGCTATGGAAGTTTCTGCCCAGCACCTCTCCTACAATACTATAAGGATGACCCACTCCTGTAGAGTCCGAATGGCCTCTTTACGTATTAATTCTGAGTAACAGTTGCATATTTATTTGCAAGGCCCCTCTGACAGAGAAGAGCAAACCCTGCCTTTTGGATTTTGATAACCTAAAATTATGCTAGATGAACTATGTTGTGACTAGGAATGGGCTTTTCACAGCCTCACTGCTCAGTTAGGTTGAATAGTTTTAGTTTTGATGCATGTCATGCTGATTTATACCAGAGGAGCAGCAGATTTCTGCATCCTCCCCATCTGGGATGTCTAATCCATTTAAGGAAAAGGGTCATCAGGGTTATTCAAGATAATAGCCAAAGGTTTTGAGTCTTTTGAAAGCTGACCCTGCATGTAACTGAGCCACAGCTTTACCAGCTCTTACATGGATTATCTGTATATTGTTTTTAAAATTTCATGGCTTGTGATGCAATGAGATTTGTTTTTCTCAAACATACATTTCTAGCAGGAGCTATTTCTGGTCTCACTGACACTAGATAACCACCGAGTTCCACTGCACTACACCTGCTCTACACTTTATTAAATTAGATTTGACCCAGACATGTGGAAGTCTATGCCAATATTATTTACCCAACTGTTGATAGTGTGTATTCGAATTCTCCTTATCTGCTGGCCTTTGTGTAGAGTAGGCAGATAACAACGAGTTTAAGGAATTAACTAATTGGTTCTGAATGGAGCTAAGTTTCGAGGCAGGCTGCTTAATAGCACTTGCTAACTCCGGATAGCCGTGCTCCAAACACATCCACTGCTCTTGCAGGAGCTCCTGGATTTTTTTGACGTATTGGCCTATGGGGTCTACAGCGGAGAAATCTTCTCGGTTAGGGTGACCTTCTTCTTCCATCACATCTTGTTCTATATCCCCGCCACAGCCAGGCTGGCTTTCACCTGTGTTTGAGTCAATTTTTGTGCCCTGGTAGCTTTCTGTGGTCATTGTATGAGCAGCAAGACTCTGGGTATCAGAGTTATTTCTTTTGTTTTGATTGTCATCACCGAGATGTTCATCAATCTTCAGCTCAGTGAGGTTTGGTGTCTGTGCCTCTTTGACAAAACGCTCAGGTCCCTCTCCACCAACTGCCAGTCCCTGATCAGTCCAAGCCGACTTGCTGTTTAACTCCTTAGCCTGCGAGTTCATGTTGTCTGCTCGGTGAACACTGCAGCCTACGGACTGTGTAGGGACTGGGATATTTACATTGATGCCTTTGTCGTGGCTTTGCTTGGAGCTGTTTGTCTGCGTGAGCTCGGTGTTCACCGCAGCGTCATAGTATTGCAGCGCGCCGCCGCCCTGCTTGGCCAGCGGTCTCGTTTCTCTATTTTCACAGCGCAGTTTCTCTTCTAGCTGAGCTTTGGAGCTTGCGAGTAACTTAATGCTTTTCTCCTTTTCCTTGATTTCATTATCTTGCTGCTTCAGCACTACTCTGATCTGTTCGAGTTCTTCTTTTTTGCTGCTTAGCTGCTCCTCCAGAAGAGCAATCTGCTGCTTCAGTGCTGCGATCCTGCTGGCCTCGCCTGTATCACAAAGCAGGGGCTGAGGGCTCCAATTCTCCTTGTTCTCTCTATCCCAAATATTTCTGTCTTCAGCTTTTCTCAGTGCATCTGGTGCAATTTCACTTATGCCTAATTCTCTTTTCTCATGGTTCTTGTTTTCATCCACAAGCTGGAGGGCACTGGCTGAGGCGGATCTGTCCTTGGCTAATTCAGACCAGCTGTGTGTTCCTGATGCATCACATTCCTCTCCCCGGCTCTCCACAACCACCTGCAGCTGCTGCGCTGCAGGGTGCTGGTTTTGCCATGGAGATGGCATCGTCGGGGGCTCTCCTGGCTGGTGCTCCCACACGGCAGTGACTTTAACCTGCTGCTGCCCAGGCTGCTCTTTCTTCTGCACCGCCGCTTGCTGTTCCCATTGTGTCTCCTGGGGGGGATTTGCTGCGGAGCTGTCGGCGCGGGGTGAAAGCGGTGCCTCCTTTGCGGGGCTAAGGGCACTTTCGGAGCAGCCCTTGTCGCCAGCGGGCTGAGGAGATGCCAAGGGCGGAGCGGGCGCCTCCTCGGCGGCGCTGCGGCCCGGCGGGAGCGCGGCCGGGATGCTGGAAGCGCGCAGCAGCTGGGGCCTGTCCT